CTACAACTTCCTGTATCTGTCCACAGTCATGACATTTCACTTTCCTGTATTCACAAACTTCAGTCTCGTGATAAACCTTGTCCCGTTTATTAATCTCCATACGACACTCTGCATTTGAACACAACACAGACGCAAAGCCACAATTGGAAACATGAGTTGCGAGATCTTCGACACAGGTTAACTCAGAACATCCCCGACTGGCATAATCACAATTAATCTTCAGCTTAGACAAATAATTATTCACCACACGGGGCCGACGAAGCGTATCGACGCTCAGATGTTCATTGCATTCGGGGCAAGTTTGCGAATTTACTTTCAGATGTTCACTGATGCAGGCAAGACAATAGACGTGGCCATTATTTCTACACATCCTTGGTTCTTTGAGAACATTGTAACAGATCGAGCAATGAAAATTTTCGTCGACATCTTTCTCAAACCTGCTATGTTCGTAGCCATATCCCTTTTCTGTCGGGCAACAAGCCATAATATTTACAGCTGACAAAACTTCGCTGACGCTCTGCTTTCCATTTGTGGAAATAGATCTACCAATTGATTTTTGTTCGTAAAGTTTATCTTACATTGTGAAGCAAATATGTCGAAACCAAGAAACAGACGAGGTTTTGAAACACTTCCGCGTTCGCTATGCCTATATGGCTTGACTTTGGTATTTTGCAATAACAAAACTTGATCGATTATGCAACAAATACTTGGAAATACGAATCACATGATCAAAGGTCATGACATCACTTCACTACATTCAACAAATATATACTGTTTTTTTCTGTGTTGGTGTTGTGTACTCAGGTGAATATATGTTTGTGATGTTACTCTTAGTGTACATCCACACCGGGCGAGCTTGAAAAATATGCCCGGCCACGTAGCTCAGTTGGCAGAGCATTGGGCTAGTATTCCAAAGGTCGTAGGTTTGATTCCCACCGTGGCCAGGCATATTTTTCAAGCTCGCCCGGTGTGGATATACACTCAGAGTAACATCACAAACAAATATATACTGGTAATAAATATTTCCCAAGTCAAAATTCTCTTTCAAGTTTCAAATATGAAAGTACTAGGCTACAACTTTATTTGCGAGAAACGTGAAATTGCTAACCAAATAAAATTCGTAGGTTTATTGAAAAAAACATGAAAGGTTTTAAATATTAATATAGGCAACAACATGTGATCACAAACTATCTACAGTATTCGAGCCGCGTAAGCAAGTTGCCCCAGTGTGCGGTGGCGTTTTGAGCGATTTCAGCCACGCGTGCCATTAGACTTGCTCCAAGTCTCTCTTTCAATTGTCATATCGATCCACTATAGTGTACATTACATGACGTAGCGTAGTGTAATGTACACTATAGTGGATCGATACACGGCAAAAAACGCTCAGGTTGATGCAATACTGATGAAAACAGGATTGAACAATGTTTTGCTGCCCACATTGTTCATAGCTGTCAACAACATTGAACAATATTGTTACACCCGATTCATGCTCAACAGCATTGTTCAATATTGTTGACAAGTGTGAACAACGTGGGCAGCAAAACATTGTTCAGTCCTGTTGAGCAACAGTCTCGGCGTTTTTTGCCGTGTACTATATGACAATGAAAGAGAGACTTGGAGCAAGCCTACGCGTGCCATCGGCACCGAATATTCAACATGTTGAATAATTTCAGTCACGAATGAACATTTTCTCCATGTGTGCGCGCTCGAAAAGGTATCACCTTTCATTGTAGATCGAATAGGCATGTGTAATAAAACAAAAGTAAAATATTTAAAGTTAGTTCGTTCACTGCAACCAGGTATATCAATCGACACTCCAGTCGAAACGTTGGGTCTTGATTTCAATTCGACTGGGCTTTGTAATCATTTATTTAAACGAGAGTAGCGAGCGAAAATGAAAGTAAAATAATTAAATGAGGAATGTAATACTTGAGTAGCAACATATGAATATTCCTCATTAATTATTTTCCTTTTGTCTTATGTTTTAATACGCATGACTATTCCATCTACATTGAACGATGAATACGTGGGGAATACATCCACTCGTGTACAAAATTATTCACTGTTGAATATTCGGTGACCATGGCAGGCGTGAACAAAACTCTTAAAACGTCGCCGCACACTGGGGGAATTTGCTTACGCCAATGGTCACTAGTAAATTTTTGCTCAGCAGATAGCTCTCGTGTGCGCCTGGCTTTAATGCTTTTCCCAAAACTATATGAATCATCAACACAAACTGAATAATTTGTTTCTAAATATTAGTAATTGTCCTATTTCATACAATTTACGAAATAAGGGACCGGTCATAAAGTAACTGCTAGGGTGGGCTGGAGTGATTTGGGATGGGCCATGGAAAGTCTTTGGGCAGTTTCGATGGGCCGCCAATTTTTTTTGTATGTCCACGGTTGGGCTACCAAACAAAAACCCGTGCATGTCTACTTCAAAAAAATAAAGATATTAATAACAAAAGTAAAGAAGACTATATCCAAATTATCAAATGCAAATGACGCTATTGAAGCTAATACTTTGTTTATACAACAACAACAACAAGTGGTCGAGTCACAGCAAATACAACCAACTGGAGAGCAGCTCAGTATGTCAAGCTTGGTGGAATTATGTATGTCAATACAGTGCCGTGTGTATTTACAATGTTCATACCTGCAAGTTTAAAAGTGTATTTTCCCAATTTAGATTGGGTGGGTCATGAAACTTTTTTTGTAAGATTAGATGGGCTTTGAAATTTTTATCTACATCCTAAGATGGGTCACCGAACTTATTGGCAAAATTTGTGATTTACCTCCAGCCCACCCTAGCAGTTACTTTATGACCAGTCCCTAAACTAACCATTTAGAAAGCAAATTTTTCATCATTCGTCCAAAAAATTATAAAGTAGCTGTTATGTGGACTTTATCTTGCAGACTTCGGCAGAAAAGCCACCCAAAAATGGCGGCGTGAGAAAGGCTAATTGGTTAGACCGTTGCACCGGAATCGCCGAGCCGCAGATTTGATCGTCCATCTCTACAGGTAGCATAAATTGGGCCAGTGGCGTAACGTTATATCAGGGGGGGGGGCAGGTTCAAAATTTTCGAAGGGCCTCCTAGTAGAAGTGCCAAAGGCACGAGTCGAGCGCCGTATATGCACGAGTTTTATACGGGGCCCAGGGCATGCTCATGATCACGCGGAACATTTTTGAATCTAGACTCTCTGAAATGCCATTTCCCGGACTTTGGGGAGAGATTGTACAAAATTCTGATGGTCATAAAACGACATTGTAACATACATATCAGAGGTCCTGTCCAATGTTTTTGCTCTACAGCCTGAGCCTGGAGGCCCCCATTAGCCCATTGGGGTTGGGGGCCCCCGGCTCTCCCGGTCTGCGCCCATAGTAGTTACGGCACTGAATTTATTTTAGTTTTAAAGAAGGCAACTTATTTTAGTTTTAAAGAAGTCCGACAATATTGTCAGACCAAAATAAAAAATTAGGATTATATTCTTGGACTAAAATGGATTTATGCATGGACTGTCTCAATATTTTTGCATCTTGTTTATATCCCATGTAATATGGTCTACGGGTTACGGTGCGAACGATTATACAGCTTGTTCTAACATGCGCATGATTTTAGTAGGAATCGAACATCTTGCGATTCAATTGGTTATACCGCTGCACCGGAATCGCAGGGCCGCAGCATAAGTTGCGCAATTTCTTTTAGTAACAAGTCCGACAATATTGTCAGACTGGTAAAAATTTCCTTACAAATTATTTCGTTTGTATTTAAAGGTGATCTACAGTCCGTATGTAAACAAAGCCTTTGTTTACATTTTTGTGTCCAAAATATTGAGCTTTATTCGACAACTATTTATATTTTCAAGCTTCTAGAGTGTAATAAATGATCAAGAAACAACAATCAGGCTTTTCAAGAACTCAAAACATGGTTAAACTGTTTGTATCATAAAAAGTGGGCTCATTTGTGCACATGCGCAGATCGGACTGTAGATCACCTTTAATAAGTAATAATCATTTTTGCATGTTGTTTATATCCCACGTAATGTGATCTATGGATTACGGTGCGAACTATTATACCAGCGATAGAGCATGCGCATTATGATATTCTAATTCGTATGAAAACGAATGACAACGAATATGAAAAGTGAGACATCTGATATTCTGTTTAGACAACAGTTGGCTGTGTTCATTTTAGACTTAATTAGCCTGTTTTCCACTAGGCGGAATTTTGCGCGCGGAGCGGAATTTTTCTTTGTCTTGTGATTTCTCGGGTGGAACTAATTAGAAAAGACAAAGAAAAATTCCACTCCGAGCGCAAAATTCCGCCTAGTGGAAAACAGGCTTTAACCAGGAGCATCGGCGAAAAATGAAACTAGAACATCTTGCGATTCAATTGGTGCATCTCTAGCCTAATTTTTTTCTCTAGCCTAAATTGGGCAATTTGAATTTGCCAATTTCTTTTATTAGTCGACGTAAATAATCACAATTTTGCATGTTGTTTATATCCCACGTAATGTGTTGTATAGATTACGGTGCGAACTATTATACGAGCGATAGAGCATGCGCATTATGATATTCTAATTCGTATGAAAACGAATGACAACGAATATGAAAAGTGAGACATCTGCTATTCTGTTTAGACAACAGTTGGCTGTGTTCATTTTAGACTTTACTAGGAGCAGCGGCGAAAAATGAAGCTAGAAGATCTTGCGATTCAATTGGTGCATTTCTAGCATAAATTTTTTCTCTAGCATAAATTGAGCAGTTTGCCAATTTCTTTTATTAGTCAACAAGTCCGACAGTATTGTTGGACCAATGTAAAAATTTTAATTATTCGTATTTGCGTCTTGTTTTTAATAGTGATCCCACCTAATATGGTCTATGGATTACAGTGTGAACGATTATACAGCGCGCAATAGAACATGCGCATTATGATATTATAATTCATATGAAAACGAATGACAACGTCTTGCGAACATCTTGCGATTCAATTAGCCTTTCTCTCCCAATGACGAATATCCGCCATTTTGGGGTGGCATCTAATTCTCGTTAACCAATGCAGACAATTAAAACCGAATGTAAAAAGCAATTTTTCAAAATAAGGGACCGGTCATAAAGTAACTGCTAGGGTGGGCTGGAGTGATTTGGGATGGGCCATGGAAAATCTTTGGGCAGTTTCGATGGGCCGCCAATTTTTTTGCATGTCCACGGTTGGGCCACCAAACAAAAAAACATGCATGTCTACTTCAAAAAATAAAGATACTAACAGTAAAAGTAAACAAAACTATCCAAATTATCAAATGCAAATGATGCTATTGTCTATTGAAGCCAGTACTTTGTTTATACAACAACAAAAAGTGGTCGAATCACAGCAAATATAACCAACTGGAGAGCAGCTCAGTACCAATGTGTTTGTCAACCTTGGTGGAATTATGTATGTCAATACAGTGCCGTGCATGTATATGCACAATGTTCATACCTGCAAGTTTTTTTTATTATAAAAGTGTATTTTCCCAATTTAGAGTGGATGGGTCATGAAAATTTTTTTGTACGATTAGATGTGCTTTGAAATTTTTATCTACATCCTAAGATGGGTCACCGAACTTATTGGCAAAATTTGTGATTTACCTCCAGCCCACCCTAGCAGTTACTTTATGACCAGTCCCTAAACTAACCATTTAGAAAGCAAATTTTTCATCATTCGTCCAAAAAATTATAAAGTAGCTGTTATGTGGACTTTATCTTGCAGACTTCGGCAGAAAAGCCACCCAAAAATGGCGGCGTAAGAAAGGCTAATTGGTTAGACCGTTGCACCGGAATCGCCGAGCCTCAGATTTGATCGTCCATCTCTACAGGTAGCATAAATTGGGCCAGTGGCGTAACGTTATATCAGGGGGGGCAGTTTCAAAATTTTCGAAGGGCCTCCTAGTAAAAGTGCCA